TTCGTGAAAATGAACCGTGTCCGTTGGAACTTCCTTGCCCAAAATTTGATATCTTGCAGGAGATTTGTCAATGTTCCAATTCGTGATGACTCGTTTATAGTTCGTATTAAGATTTCACAATCCCCTTCAAAGGAAATTGTTTTGTAGCCGCGAACCCAGGTTTGTTGCATAGCCGCTATTAAAGCTTTTGTTTCGGCTTCTAGAGGAGAAGCAGCGTAGCCTAATTGCAGTGAACCCCAATGTTTAGATAGTCCATGATGATCTCTAATAATCCAGCCCGCTGTAGCTTGTTGAGTGTGAATATCGAAACCAGCATCAAAATTGCATTTAATGTATGGAAACGACGGGGCTGTCCAACACCGGAGAGATGGAGGTGGAGATGTGTTGTGACTGGGCATGGTGTCTCTGCGCTTGTGAGGTGTAGTGGCTATAATCCATTGTGTTGTTTCAGCTTGTGCCTTCAAAACTGTCTTGGAAGCACTCTCTCGGCCTTTGTTGAAAACAAAATTGTTTCTAGCTTTCCATATTCTCCAAAGAAACCAATAGGGCATTAATTTTTGGTCATCCTGAATTGTTTGGTTTGTAAGGAGATTCATTAAGTTGCTTAGATTTTCTTCAAAAACAGGGGTAAAGCGAATATTCCGTAGAGGAGGTATACTCGCTAATCTCCAAACCATCATTGCGAAAGGGCAGGAAAACAGAGCATGGTTTATACTTTCTTCTTCTTTTCGACATCGGGGGCACATACGATCAACATTCATACCACGTGAATTTAATCTAGTCATGGTGGCTAAAGCTTGAGAAAGGGACCTCCAGAGGAAATGTTTTATCTTTGGCATAATTGGTAACTTCCAAACTCTATTCTTCAAATCTATAGAACCTGGAGGAATATGGAGCCTATTGTGATCGTGAGGGTCATGGGTTAATAACCAATAGCCTGAACGAACCGAGTAGTCTCCGGAGGTATTATAGTTCCAAATAATGGTGTCGCAGTTCTGTTCCATTGAAAGGTGAGAGTTTTGGAGAAGTGATCGATCTCTTTGGTCAACGTGAGCAGCTATCTTTGAAGTATCCCATGAGCGAATATTACCTTGATTTGAGATGAGGTTTTCTAATAGGCTATTCCTGTATGATTCACATATATTAATCTCTAAATGAATTTTTTAAAATAAAAATAAATTTTTTGAAATATTATTCATATTCTAATTTATTTTTTGTTATTTTATATAACATTGTTTCTATGATTCGACCGCTTGTTACCAATCATAACCATAATATAGTGGCTTGTTTTAATTTAACTGTCTTATGTCTTCCACTATATAGTATTTCTTATAATCACTTTTTCCTTAACCACCTTTTGCACAATCGATAAAAAAATTTAACCGCTATATTTAAACGATGTTATCAATCGAACCCTCGATCGTTTTGATTGAAGAAATTAAAAAGGAACATTAAGTCAGGGAGAGGTTACAAAAAGAAGGAATAATAATATGTAATCAATAGGGTTGTTGCATTCTTAATTTGACAAATTAACTACCATTGATTTTTATAATTACAACAAGAGTTGACCAATTTGTAATAATAACACTCATGATGTATGTCCAAATTATATGTTGCATGAGTAATTTGTACATGGGATTTCGTAAAAATAACTTATTCAATGACCCCTTGTATACTCTTCTTAATTAAGTATAGTTACCCAAGTATGATTAGCTATATTTAAGGGTTGTCAAGAAAATATTGAAAAGTTTACAACCAAGTTTTTTTGTTTGTTTTAATTAATGTTGATTTATTTTCCTTTTGTTTTAGTTTAAATGTTTTTTTATAACTTAAAATTTGTTTGCTGTTAAGTATCGTTTTAGGTTTCAGTACATATTTTTGATCAAAATATCGTTAATGATACTTAATTTGAAACAGATGGAGTATTACTCTTTGACTTGTACATTTTATGTTTATACTTTCCTAGACAAAGAATTCATAGGAAGAAGAAGGTAACTCTGAACAAAAACCCAATTGAAACCTCAATGAACAAGAAAGACATCCGAAATAGGTTTGATAGTCCATGGCATGCTCTCTCCACGTAGGGTGAGTGATAGTAAGTAAATGTTTCTTATGAAGCTATCGACACTAAGTTCGAGTCTTGGAGATAAACAAAATTGAAATGCAAATTTACGTATGATGTTGATTCAGGATTAAAAATTTATGATATGGTTCTAAAATAACATATATCGTGGATTTGAAATCTTAGAAAGTCACGTATATTGCATATTAAATTGTCCATCTATATTCTGTATGTTAATAGTAAATCATTATTTAATAACAGTTTCAAAGAAAACGAGTAGCTACCTGCCGATGCAATTTTTTTTTCCCAATTACAGACAAATCAAAGATTTGGGATTGGAGAGGAAGAGATCTATTGAAACCGACACATTCGGTCCAAAGCATTTCATTTAAATTATTATGATTTAACGAAAGTAAAATACATAAATCAAGCTTTTTGGTCCGGTCACTGTTATTACGTCTGTGATCATAAAGAATGGAGTAAAAATTTTTAATTTATTTTTCATTATACAAAACACTAATTTAATTAATTAGTGAACTTTTAATTTGTCGATAACCAATAAGAATGATGGAAAACGGCAAAAGCTATAAGTGGTTATTGAAAGAGTCGACTGTTGAAGTTTGTCGGAAAGACACTCCACCATTACATAAATACAAATCTTATCACTAGTGGAAACTGTCGAGTGTGGAGTTCTCTTTTTCCTTCTAATAAAAGAATATTATCTTTCTAAATTCTTCCAAAATCATTTTGGAGTTTTCTTTTCTTTTTTGTTGATTTGGAGTCTGTAATTATCGCCAATTAAAGTTTATACTTCATAATACGCTCAGTGGTGTTCGAAAGCAAATTACGACTAAAAAACGATATTTATACAACAACATACAGCTCTATTAAATACCAAGAAAATGATTATCCCAAATATGCATATTTGAGTATTTGTACAAAAGTGAAGTTAGTTTTACATTTCAGAAAAAAATAACACTAAAGCTGTGGGCGTTTTCTTCTAAAATGTTTTAAAATGTTAGTGTAAAATATTCTCCACAATTCTACATTCGTCATTTTCAGGCTATATTTGATTTCGAAAGCTGTGGGCGTTTTCTTTTCTAATTTCTTTTAATCATTTTTTTTTTGTCTTTTTCAACGAAAAAAATAGCGTGCACTGTATTGTTTCTTTCAACTTTATTTTTGGACTGCTCACCGAAAAAAAAAAAAATTATTTTTGGACTAGTGAAAGATGAGACATATTGTTGCCCTGCCCCTATATATTTTTGTGTTTATTTTAAGGTTGTTTTTTTCTTTATAATTTGTAACCTTGTATGACAACAGTAAATAAGATTTTACAAAATCTGCTTTAAAAATGTAATGAAAACCTTTATAATATGTAAATTAAAAAAAAAAATCTTGATATGGGTACATGTGAAATGACTATACAGAGATTTTATTCAGATAAATGATTTTAGAAAGAAAAAAATTGTTATTAACAAATGAAGAATGAATGTGCACATATGATTTTATTGATAGTGGATTTTAAAATATATGACTTAATATTCGTATAGATGGACTACACCAATAATTTACTTAAATATTATGTAAAACGTCACAACGATATATGGCATATTTGCTTGATAATTTGGATGTCAATAAAACATACACAAAATGTTGCAATAAAAATAACATGCTTTAAATTTTATGATCAAAATATAAAACACTCTAGTCTTATACATGTTTAAATTTTTTTTGTTAATAGTTTGTATGGAAAATACTGTTTTTAATTATGTTCTAAAATATCAACAAATATATATATTTGCCCTTTTTTAAAACATCAATATAAGTTTTTTTTTTTTTTTGTCAAACAACATCAATATAAGTATTACCTACATTTTCTTAAGAATACTCATGTGTGTCATGTATACATGCGTGTATTGTCCATTGTTGTTTGCCAAAGGTTATGATCAAACTTCAATTTCTGTTGATAAATACTTCCAAATTTCCAATATACTCTAATTCCTTTGCTTCCAAGAATTCCATTTTACCCTCCTCCGAGATTTTTAAGCAATGGAAAATTAAGTTTTATTTGTTATAAAAAGGTTAATTTTTTTTTTTTTTTAATATTCCCCTCTTATGCAAATTGAGGGACCACGTAGAAAGTTGTGAGAATCTCTATACACAAAAGAAATAGAAACAATGATTACATGCACAAGCACGAGGCCATAAATTTCCTTATCCTATACACAATATTATATACACATTTATATAAAGATGTAACATTCCAAAGAGAAAAACCTCCAATAGCTCACTGCCTCACTCTACAAAAAAAAAGTTATTTTGTATGGAACTCCAATATTAAAGTTTAAGTGGGGTATTCAAAACCAATTGCCATGAAGAAAATTGATCAATCTTTTTTTTTTTTTTAATAAATTGATCAATCTTTCTTATTTATCATTTGCATTTTCCTTTTATTCTTCACTACTTTGGTAAAAAAAAATTCTCATAATTACAGAACCTAACTAGTTTAATACAGTTGAAACTTTCAAAACAAAATATTACAGTAATTACAACTTGTACCGGTTATTCTACGATACTCTATGAGACTATGACAAAATTAAAGACAAAAGAAATTAAGAAAAACAGTCAAAAGTTAAAAAAGGATATTCAGACCAATGAGAATAGATAAGGGGTAAAAGACAAAAACGAATATAAATAAAAACAAATAGCATTTGGCGCCAAAAAAGACCTAAATGGTCGTGTCACGTGATGTTAATTTTTGCTCTAGTAAAGTGTTTTCCAAATCTCTGGGTCCCACTCTCAGATGTGCTGACTTTTTTTTTTTAACTTTTGTCTTAAATCTTTGGAATTTTTCAATTTTAATTTAATTTAATTTATTTAAATTCATTTATTTTTCTCACTCTATAAATCCCCACAGATCCATCACACTTCACCTAGAGACCTTCCACAGCTTTCTCGACAACTGACGAGTGAGTTTCAATCCAACGGTTGAGATTCGGTCTCCATAGATAATTCACATAAGGACACGTGGCGGCGAGAGATGAAAGAAAGTAGCCGGAAGCAAGGAGCTGCGTCACCGTGTGCTGCGTGTAAGCTTTTGCGGCGGCGGTGTGCTCAAGATTGTGTTTTCTCGCCGTATTTTCCGGCGGATGAGCCTCAGAAATTCGCTAATGTTCATAGAGTGTTCGGTGCTAGCAACGTCAACAAGATGCTTCAGGTTTTCTTCTTTCTTAAGAATAATTAAACGTGCTTAATCATATTTTGGGTTAGGTTAATTAGAAGAATTTTCTTATTTCTTATGTTAGATGAGACATTACTATCATTTCCATAACTTTTTATTGACAACTACCACATGGTCCAATCTATATATATTAGTATTATAAACTAATTTAAGGATTTTAAATTGCATTTTAAGAATTTAAGAATATGTTAGTGACATTTACATTTATTAGCTGATGTAGAATTTACCCACTTTTGTTAGCTGATGTAGAATTTTAACCACTTTAACTTTTTGTTAGCTTAGTTAATGATATGATCTACATTTCTTAGGTAGCTAATTTCGATTCTACTTTTGAGATCAATTATATAATTTATATAGTCTTGTGAGATTAGTTGGTCTAGTGGCTAACAAGATGTTTTAAAACGCAACAGGAGTTACCAATCCACCAGCGAGGGGACGCGGTGAGCAGCATGGTTTACGAGGCTAATGCAAGAGTTCGGGATCCGGTTTACGGTTGCGTAGGAGCAATTTCGTCCCTCCAGCAACAAATCGATGTGTTGCAAGCTCAGCTAGCTCTAGCTCAAGCTGAGGTGGTGCACCTACGTGTACGCCACTCTACTAATTTTCCGGGGCACGGACTATGCCCGGACAGTCCGAGTAGCAGCGGGTCACCGTCTTCGAAGCAAGTGAGTCCACAGGGCAACAAGGGCATGTTTAGCCATATGGACATTGTGGATGAAGCCAGTTTGGGAGAGTCTATGTGGTCTTGCTAGTCAATGCTCTCTTTTTACTACTGCAAATTTCCTCTTCCTTTTTTGGGAAATTTCGGGATTATTATATTTAAATTAGGGGTAGGAATGAAAATGCTCTGTTTTGAATACAGAGTGAAATTATTAACATGATATATATACATATAAATACTAAATATAATTATATTATAAATTAAATCTCTCTCTATATATATATGAGTATTTGTAATTTTGTATTTCGGGGTATTTGGGATTTGGTGGATGTGTAGGACTTCGGACCACGAGGGTTCTCTTGATCATTTCCAACCGAGGAGGGAACTTTGTTATTGACCTAATGTAAATTTGTGAGATATGTTATTTATCTATATCTATATACAATTATGGTCATGTAAGTCATGGTCTGTGTGTGACTCTGTGCGCATATTATAGCGTAATGGTCGGTTTCTGATATTGGCTAAGTGACTAAGTCTAGCTTAGCAGTTAGCACTTAGCATTATCTTCTTAATCATTGTAGTGAATAGTGACTAGTGAGTACTGAGTACGTGAACTGATATTGTATGTTTTTTACTTTCATTTCTCGTATTTTCAGGTATTTATGGGCCTGGCCTTTTATTACACAAGCTTATGGCCCATTTCTCTCTTTTTTTTCCTTGCAAATATTTGCCATTCGATATTGTCCCTGATAGAATCGCTCGCACATCATATACTATTCAAATTCACATTCACATTCACATATTTTGATCCGTGGTTAAACACTCATGTACTAATATGATTACGGCCTCTTGTCAAGTCCGATAATCCGGAGGTGGAGATGTACTTATGAATATTGGTTAAATGAAATTTATTAGGCCTGGGCGTTCGGGTACCCGTTCGGTTCTGGTCCGGTTCCTATTCGGTTCCGGTTCTTTCGGTTCTAGAATTTAGGATTCATATAGGAACCAAACAATTTCGGTTCGGTTCCGGTTCTTTCGGTTCTGAAGTTTAGGATCCATTTGGATATTTTTTCAGATATTTTTAGGTATTTTGGATATTTTTGGGCATTTTCGGATATTTTTTGGATATTTTAAATATTTTTTTATATATTTTCCAAATATTTGTTGGTATTTCGGGTATTTTTGGCTATTCGATATAAAAATAACTAATATTTTCTGATATAAAATCATATTTCGGGTATTTTCGGGTACCCGAAATATTTCGGTTCGGTTCGGTTCCGGTTCCGGTTCTTTCGGTTCTAAAATTTAGGATCCATTTGAGTATTTTAAAATTTCGGTTTGGTTCCGGTTCGGTTCTTTTTGTTTCGGTTCCGGTTCGGTTCTTGTGGTTAGGTTATTTTGTCCAGGCCTAAAATTTATGTAACGAAAACTAGTAAATTCTGTATTGAAAACTTTGAAAGATAGCGGAAATGAAGGGGGAGAAAATGACCGGAGCATTTAATTGTGGTAAGAAATTTACAGTGAGCTTAAACAGAACAAGTAATTAGTATTTTATAGTTTAAGTTATCTCCTGCATTCACGCAAATGCAAGAGTGGTAAAATATTATCACTAATTAAATTTAGTTATGCTCTTAAACATAAGACTCTGCGTTATATCATGAAATTCCCTTTAAGCAATTGAGGCTTCACAGAGCAATCGCTACACCGCGAAATGATTACAATCACCTTTTTAGCCATGAGTCTTTCTACTTCCGCAATCCAAATTTTAAAAGGTTTTCGACAATTCAATAGGTACAATGGAAAACAAAGAGATTAGAGAGAGTAACAAAAGCATAAAGCAAGTTTTTTAAACATCCTTAGCAATGAGATCACCATTGAGAAACTCTCTGTAGGCAGCAACGGGCCAAATGAAACCACGGAAGATAATCCGACTAGCCAAAGGAACATCGATGATGATCTCTTTCATCGCGGGTTTCTTCTCACCACTAATAGCTATTAAGTAGCTTCTTCCAACCCACCCGATCCATCCTGCAATGTAGAGGAAAAGAATCCCTGGAGTAATGAACTCTCCCCAATGCCGCTGGTCTCCATTCACAATCAAGTGCGGTAAACCGTCTGACCCGCATAGCAAGCCGTACTTCCCGTAGTTGTCGAACCTAACATACATTTCTTCAATATCAATAAAATCCCACAAATCATAGGCACTAACTCACTAACTCATCAAAAATCATACTATAGCAATGAATCTAACAAGTAATTCACTAAAATCAAGATTCAAGAATCAAGAACAGAGAAAAGCTCTGTTTTAACGAATAAATCGAAATCGAAGACGAACCTGCGTTTGGTTTTCTCGATCTGAGCATTAAGAGCAAGAGCAGGAGCACTCTCAGGAGCGTAAAGCTTAAGAGATGATTCAAGCTTCTTGATCTGTTGCTTTTCTCTCTTAGCGAACTGTTTTGAGTCCTTGCAAGGAGTCAAACCTGAGATATCAGCGACAGCTGGCATTGGAGCAGAGAGGAGGATGGAAGAGAGAGCGACGGCGGCGGAGAAAGCTTTCATGGATTGTGGTGTGGAGGAGGATTTGTCATCGGAGCAGACGAATCTTGCGGAGGATTTAGGTACGGATTGAGTGAGAGATTTGTTAGATCTCGGGTTGAGAACGAGATTCGTCGGGATCGTGAGCGACATGGCGCTTGAGTTTCTTGGAGGTTTCGAATTACAGGGTTCTGGATCTTTGGGTGAAGTGTGGAGAGAGGACTTATGGGAGGAGCTTTAGATTCTTGAGGAGATTAGTGGAGGTAGAGGAAGATAAGAGAAGAGGTCTTGTGGTGATGATGTGGCGTGTTGTGATTAGTTGGTAAGTAACATGTCACTGGATAAGAGATTTTCCCGCGGATATTTGTAGTTTTCTTATTTGATGTTGGAGATATGTGGACTACACACGACTTATCTTTATTTTGTTTATATAACTATATATATATATTTTTTAGTGAAACATCAAAATATAATTATATTTATATCTACACAAAACAATCATACAGTATATATGTAGACAAGAAAAAAAAAAGATATGTAGGTTTATAGTTCTGATTAGTAACACTGCAAAATTGAGATTTTGATTGGTTAACCACATAATAAGGAAATATATGGGATCATGAGTTTGTTAATCATTTTTTTTTTTTTGTAAAATCGTAATAATTTACATTCACAATTTCGACATTCGAAAAGGTAATTGCCAAAATAAAAAAAAATTAAATCTATAATTTGACCAAAATAAAAATTCTCCAATTAAATCTATATATATGAGCAAAATAAACATTAGCAGGAATACAAATCCTTCCACCATTTCGACGATTTCTTTTCATAAGATCTCTTCAACTACTGTCTGTGAACACCTTGATTAGTTTTTTAATCTTTTAAGATCATACTTTTCTTTAAAGTTTTACTAGTATTTTTTTTTATGTATCATGTCTAATTCTAGGCAGAAGAAACAAATTTCTTCTCATTTACCCTTATATATTGTTTATAGCAAAAACAATTCCATTTTTTGTCCAATCACATCCGAGAGGAGAATTTGGCTGTGTTGCCATCATAGTTTTAACTCGTTGAATTACCAACACAAAGTTCTGATATTTTCTAGAGGTTTCTTATAGAAATGTGTAAACCATTACTAGTTTTCTTATTCACATCAAAGAGATAGGAAAATACACAAATGAAGAAGGGCAACCTATCCCAAGAAAACTAGAGACAATCAAAAGATTACAAGTTACAACAATTCACAATTAAGTTAAAAAAAAAAAAAAGCATCTTCCAATAGAGACAAACAAGACAGACAAAGAGAAAAAAAAAAAAGGAAAATCAGACGTTGTGGGAATTGTCGTGCTTGGTGTGAGGAGACAACGGTGGAGAAGAGGTGGCGATTGCGCCGGGAGGCGGAGCAGGAGCTCCATACACCAGAGGATTTGTACGGATCTCACGACGGCCGCGAGATTTACCGAGGAAGTAGCAACCGAATCCAAGAAGTAGACAGAAGAAAATTAGAGGCAGAGATATGACCACAACCAAACCCATCGATCTTGAGATCTAGTTTCAATCTTCTTTCTGATTGTTTTTTTCTTTGTTGTTTCTTGGACTCTTGGTTTGCTTTGATTCTACTTCACATGTATATATTTATATGTATGAGTTCGTGGGAGGTTCTGGAAGGATCAGATTCTGTCCGCAACGTTTATGTCTTGTAAAGCTTTAATGCTTAACGTTTAAATCTCAACGGTCACCTTTTTGTTTGGCCCTTTCAGACGTTTTCTTTAATAGTGTTTTTTTTCTATTTAAATATGATTAAATTTTCAGTTAAAAAATAAAATTTCATGAATAGCTTGGATGGAACTTTTTCTTAAAATACTTCCCAAGCAAATATATGTTTTATGTTGTGAAGTTATTTGATAATCAACTTAGGATCCTTTATATAAAATGAGATGTGTCATGTGAGAAAGTAAATATTTTTTTTATACTCCCCCTCTCCCATATTATAAGCTTTTCTAGCTAAAAACACAGAGTTTAAGGAACCATAAATGTTTTGTTCTTTTTACATAAAATGTAACTATTAAAAATATTTTTTTAAAAATTAACCAATAGAACAAAAAAACTGCATAACATAGTTATAATATACTAAAGAAACATAAATTATGCATAGATATTTGAAAAAATATAATAAAATGAAACAAGAAAAAGTCTAAAACTCTAATATATTGGGACAGAGGGAATTTTGTTTTGTTCATTTATATATATATATATATATATATATATATATATATATATATATATATATATATATATATATATATTTAAAATGAATCTATAGGTAAAATAAATATCATATAGCTCAAATGCAATTACTACAAATGAACAAACTTAAGATCTTCAAATCACTTGCGGCTTTTCAATTATTTCGTTAAAAACTTTATATAAAAAGCTACGGTGAGACAAAACCATGATAAAAGAAAAAGATGCATCTACTGAAATATCCTTTTGAGTTACTAACTTCAGTCTTATTGCTATGATGTGCTCTAATTTCTCTTCCTTGAATGTGTCCACGTCCACAACTAATTCAGAAGATATCACATTCACTTCAACAGATGGAGTCGTGCATGTTGTTCATTAACATATGGTTGTTATCATCCGTAACAAGAAGACACAAAATTAACTCCTAATACAGTATTTCGAAAATTTTGTAAGCAAGTTAAACGATGTCAAAAAAAAAGAAAATGTAAGCAAGTTAAACAATCATGCATTTATCAAGAGTTTTTGAAAATTTGAGAGCTAACTTGTGTCTCTTTGATGGACTATCTTCTAGTCAAAAGACTTGTTCTTTTTTTTAACGTCTTTTCTTTCGTACCATAAACTAGTCTACTGACTTGTTTAATCAAACATATTTTGATATAGTTCTGCTCAAATTTAAAATTCTTATGTTCCTAATCACACAAAATGGAAAAATTTGCAGTGCCTAAAACGGTATCACCATTTATCCTTCATGGCTTAACTCTTCTAACAATATTTCACTCTCCTTTAAGGAACCCGTTCTTTTAACTCATGCAACCAGCAATCTCAATCGGCCTGGTCCGATCAACCCATAATTTTTTTCCTAGTTTCACGTCTAGTTACGGCTACGAGCACCTTTCTTCAGATGAAATATGTTCATCATAAATAACTAAAATCCATACAAATATAAGTATGATTCGATATTTAACAGATTATTGGTAAGATAATCCAAACCCACTGAAACAGCATCATATTCAAAGCATCATATTCAAATTGTATTCACTTTTTCCCATAGACTCCAACAAGCCATACAAAGGAAAACAGAAAAAGATATCTTCAAGAGTTTCTCAGAGAAGACCAAAACCACCCCTAAGAGCAAGAACCAGATGAAGAACAGAGCCTCCCTCTATGGCGTAGTCTTTTGCCGTTTTGTCATCAGCTAGCTGCTTTCCGGCGTAGATGAGCCTGCAAACATCCATGAGATTATAAGCATCCAACAAATACTAATGAGAATCACTGTTATATGTGACAGCATAAATTATCAGCTTGCACACAGAGAATAACCGACAGATGCCAAAAGAACATAAGGAAACACATAGAGGAGCTACAATTTTCACAAGGGCATTAGATAGTTTTCTTTCTCTCGCTAAAACATGAAAATCAAACCACCTATTGCAATAAACCGCAAATAAAGTCTTAAAGAATCAGTATTGATTAAACTGCGAACAACTCCAAATGAGCCGACAAAGATGACAAGAACAATGTAGGAGCGCTACAATAAGTGGTGAGCATAAGTCACAGAAAGAGTTAACACTGTTCAAGAAGCTTCCCTAAACCCAATTAAGACTCAATTCTTTTGAAGTAAGCGGAAAAAGAAGTTATGTACCTTTGTTGAACTGGAGGGATACCTTCTTTCTCCTCAACACGTTCCTTGATCCGATCAATAGTATCGGTTGGTTCGATATCAATCTCAATTTCCTTCCCAGTGAGAGTCTTGACCTTAATCATAGTCCCACCCCTAAGCCTCAAGACCAAGTGAAGAGTCGACTCTTTCTGGATATTGTAATCCGCTAATGTTCGACCATCTTCAAGTTGCTTACCAGCAAATATCAACCTCTGTTGATCAGGTGGTATTCCCTCTTTGTCCTGTTTTCCACAAAATCCCAACCAATTAGAAGAAATACACATCAAAAAGATCACTCAGAGATTGCAACATCAACAACATGATTCGTGAATCTGATCAAATCGATGATCTTTAGTCACTTATACAAAAACCTATCGATCGCTCGAGAATCTCTGAGATCGTTTTACATAATCAGAAACAAGAATCAGAGAAAGAAAACCTAATCAATGAATTATTCTCCAACAATTAAGAAAGGGAATTGAAAATTTTCACATTCCAAAACCCTAGAAACCCTAACAAGCACGAGCAAGTGAAATTCGAAGTTGGAGAAAGAGAAAGAGAAACCTGGATTTTGGCTTTGACATTGTCGATGGTGTCGCTGCTTTCGACCTCTAGGGTTATGGTTTTTCCGGTGAGGGTTTTGACGAAGATCTGCATTTTTTTTTTCTTTCTTCACTGATCTTTTTCGTCTCTGATTTAGCGTTTATGAATATATATATATATATATATACGAATAGGAAAATATATAAAATAAAATTGGGATATAGTTTGAAGGATTTTGGAATAAATCCTTTTTGAAAGATTTGTGATTAGCGTTTGGGCTACGCTATTCCTTCTTCTCCATTTGTTATATAATTTTTATTAACAATTTTTAAGAAAAAATCTTTAAAATGTATAATGAGAAATGAATGATCTAGAAAGTTTTAAATCAAATATATTAATATTGCTTTAAATATATTGAGATTTTTTTGTAGTAGAGATTTTGGTTTCAATTTTAGGATTTTTATTTTTTAATACTTAGTTTAAAAAAAACATAAATTAATTTGTTCAAAAAAAAAGATTTAAAGAGATTTTAGATTTTGTACTAAACAAAAAGAAATTAAAGAGAAAGACTAGTTCTCCTAGATTTTAAGGAAACAAGAATTTAAGAAACTCTTAATATTGCGGGATGAGATATTGAACTTTTGAGTTTTAAAAGCAAAAACTAAGGCAACTATTGTTGTCATTCAATTAGTCAATTTTGTTGGAGTCTAGAGCTTTGTGCAAAACCCACTCTCTAGATATCTATGGAGCATATTTGGGGAGGGTGTGGTTTGAAGTGAAACATCTTAAATAGAAGGAAAGCTCTTAAACCTCATGAATGGGTATGTCTCTCTAGCTAACTTTTTGTTTTTATAGACCCATAGACTCATCACTCATGGCGAAAGAATTTCACCCTTTCATGTAGAGTTGGAGACGCTTGTTTGAACCAAAAGTGCATCCCAATGGCATACCAGAATTAAAGACATCTCTCTAACCATTTTCTTCTCAACCGCTAAAAAGCCTGTCACCATCTTTATTCAAACGTATAGAACCCATGTGTTTTAGGCGATTATGATTGCCAACGTTATTGGGATATCTCAAACGTTTTACAAAAATCAGAAACGATATAATTGAACAAACCGGTTATAAACCATATGGTAAGATTACAACGTTATCAGAAAAGAAAAAACAATGGCCTTATTTCTTGTCAATTTATTTATGTAACACAAAGGGGTCTCAATATGGCCCAATGGATCGGATCATTTTAAACCGGACCCAAAAACTCCTTTTCCAATTCTCTATTTCTATTTTCTACATATAAAATCTCATGTCTATTTTGTTTATTTGGTTTTTACATATATTGCTTTAAATTCAATTAAATAGAATTTTCTTCTGAGAAATTTTTGTTTTTTACTCACAAATATGTGAACTTTTTTCAGGTGTTAAAAAAAATATATATGTGAACTTTTAAAGTTGGTTTTATTCAATTGATCAATTATTCAATATCCACAACAAAGATGTAAGGAAAAAACAAAAATAAGTTTTTTTTTTGTTGAACAGCAGAAGTTCCGGGCCTTTGGTCCATAATCTCCCTTGGTGCTCGAAGCAAGCTTTTAGTCCATTCTGATTTAAAGAATGCATCTCCGATGCCAAGAGATTTTGAACCAGGGACAAAAAAAAACTTAACCCTTTCTACTAGACCACCACCTCTTTGCATAAAATAAATTACATACAGAACAAATGATAAGAAGATTTTATATTATAAATAAGTGATTCTTATCCATAATTTGTATGTCTACATCTTGATTTTTTGAATAAACGTGTCTTGTTCTTGTCTCCTCCAAGTTGGTGAGTCTCTTAACATCGTAGCATCACCAATGGCTTTTACTGGTCAGTTCTGGTATGCTCTTCAATCTCCATAAAATAGAACAAATGATAGGTAAATGTTCACTATAAATCTCATCCAAACCTAAAAATTACCTAAAAATCAATTGATGATGAATCAATTCCTCTATGTATTGTCTGTACATGCCTCTATGTATTGTCTGTACATGAATAAAATCTTATATAATTTTAAAAACAATAAAAAGCTCGATAGATGGCATAAATTAAGATCAAAAATATTTCTGACGTGTGTTTCATTTGCAGGTATTAAAAAATAACGACAAGATGACACTTTTCCACCAGAAAAAACGGGAAAACAAAATTATAAAAAAAGTACCGTTTACAAAAAGAAAAGAATAATATCACACAAAAATAAAACAATACGTCAGCAAAAATCCGGTTGACTCATTCTTGGTAATACATGAACCGAAACCGGTTCAAGCCCATCAGGAATCTCAACATTCCAAATCTTCGCCGGCTCCGCCGCAACATCCACCACAACAATTTTCCCATCAACCGTAACAACACAAAGTTTCCCGGAATCCGCCGTAACTTGCGTAGCTCCTTTAAGTAACTCTTCTCCACCGTCCACAACCGCCACTTCTCTCCACTCTCTGTTCTCATCATCGTACTTTCTCACTGTCCCTCTCCTCTCATCCACCGAATAAAGAATCTCCTCCTCCATCGCCGCCACCGGACCTCTCCATCCAACCAACATCTCCTCCGGCATAGCTTCCCAATCATCTTTAACGACGTCGTATATAGCTCCTTCTTTAATAGCGTCTCCTTTTACATTTACCATTAAAAGCTTTCTTCTATATCCAACGGCGTCTATAGCTTCCCGACTAAACCGTAAATCTCTCATATCTCTTAATTTCTCCCAATTAAACCGCCGGTTATTACGGTTTTGATCGGTTAGATCTAATTTCTCGATTGATTTCGCGACGGTTGAGGAGAACTGAGAACTAATTCCGCTTGCGATGTAAATAGCTCCGTCGCAAGCTCCGGTGGCGCACCACCGTCTTGGAGATCCGATTTGAGGACCGGAGCTCCATGATGATGAAATTGGATCGAAGATTAACGGGTGAGAGATCGCCGGAGAGAGTTGTTGATTACTTCCGGCGATGAGAATGATTTTCCCGGCGGCGGAGACGCATTGAATCGGTAAATTAAAAGAGATAAACGACGGATGACGGTAGAGAATCCGGTGAAGAGGCGGGTCAGGCGGAGGAGGAGGAAGCGGATACCATTTTGAAGAAACCGGGTTAAAACACATAAACCGGACTGACGGGTTGACCCGACCCGGATCCGAGTTTGAATCAACGAAAAGCGCGTAGAGAGACGGAAACGAAGGAAATTCCGGCGAGTAAAGAAGACGGCGCCACCGTGAACATACGGCGGAGAGTAACGACGGACGGTTAACTTTGGAAAGACAGATCTCTGATATGTGATCAGGAAGTCCTTCGATTAAAGCCGAGTTTTCATTTCCGGTGACTATTCTTCTTCGTTTCGCCGGCGGTGATACGGCGGCGGCGGTAGACATTGATTCAGGCCGTTTCAGTTTTTTTTTTTTCTCTCTTTTTTTTTGGTTGAGTTTTGAATTATTTTAAATTATTTGGATTTATTAAAGAGATAAAGGAGGAGGCGTGAAGTGTAATGAATGAGAGGGAAAAGTAGTAATGGTGTAGGAGCCATACATATATCAAAATCGAAAAGGCCAAAGTTGGAAAGTGTTAACATCTCTATCATTAATACGTAAAGCTAACTCATAAAATAAAATTATACATTTATAGCATCACATATGATTATAATATTCAAGTGGGTATTAATTTAATTTAGTTGTTCGATATTATCATATTATGATTAATGTTAGAACTAGGTATTGTCAATTAGTTTAAACGGTCCGGTTCAGCTCAGAAATTCGGTAATTTGGATTATTTGGTTTTAAAAATATATTCTAAATTGAAACAAACAATCCAAATTACCGAATTTTCGGTATTTCCATATTTATTTTTTAAATTTGGGTTGTTTTAGCGGATGAGACACTGAAAAAAGATTACGGAAAAGAATCACGATAAAAATAAAAAATAAATAAACTTGGGAAAAGAAAAAAGGGAGGGAAGCTGACAACTACAACTCTACAAGTAAGTAGAGGACTAGAGGGTAAGGTAAGAACCTAATCTTCTAATTATAAAAATTATGTTAGCACTTAGTCATATTTACCTAATACTTTATTCCATTTTCTTCATTGTCATACCATGCAAATCTATATTGTATGTTATGTTCTATAAAAGTATAAAACTATATGATTATCCTTCCCAACTATTTCGTTGTATTTCATTCCATTTTCCTCCCCTCTCCTCTCATTCCCACATATTGAATCCATTTTTAATTTTTTCTATTTTGTTTTCGTTTCCACGTTCGAATGAAACATTTAAAATTTTCGAGTAGTTTGGATTAAACATGTTTTGAAAATAGTTGTTAATTTTGGTTTTCAACTATTTACCACATATGAATTTGCTGAATTATTGAATTAATTTGTCTACTATATTTTGAATATATATAGTTATGATTATTTGATAAATTTGCAAATTTCCCATTTTCATCTTTGTGCTAGTGTGTATAAAGATCCATATTTTACGTATATTATTGGAAAATTTTGTAGTTAATTAATTGATAATTATGATAAGGTTCAAAATCCCACTTTTAAGAGAAACTTCAATTTTTCTTTTCTTTTTGTGGAAGAGAAAAAAAAAGCGACAGAGACATCAGTTTGGTGTCGTTTGGTCCGTTTGGTGTGTGATCCAGATTCAGCCTTCTTTCCCCAATCTTCTCAACAATGAATATGCTTTGGATTTTAATGTACATCAATCGTTTCTTTCTCCTGAACGATAAAGTTAGTTTGATATTTCGATGTGTTTATAATGTATGTTCAAGTCTTCATTTTCTACAAGTTTTGTAATTAACATAAAATCATTTAAAGATTTTAAAATAAAAACTATCCAAACTAAGGCAAGAAGTTATTCAATCTACAAATTTATGTACTTGTGGTTTTAGCTCAAACACTTTAATATAGTAGCCCGATTTCTTAAAGAACTTACTACAGTTCAATTTCTAGTGTGTAGCCGTAAAAAAATTACTTAAACAAGTAGAATAGTTGAATAATTTGTAAAAGGATAACATGTAACAAGTTTTTTGTTCATGTATAAATTTGGTTTTCGCTTTTATACGGTTATGTTTTGGAATTGCCGAAGAACAACTATTTAAAATAAGAATAAATAAATTTCCATCACATGAGATGGTTGAGGTCATTAAAGACACACTGGTATGATATTTTACATAAAAGAAAATTAAGTCTCCTATTGGCTATTGCACGGAAAAAAAAAAGTCTCCCTTTAGATAATACTAAACGCATTCAGTTTAGCAGTTTTGCTTGAGAAAACAAATGATTGATTTCATTTTAGTTGAATTGGCGAATGAATATGATGTTAGTAAAAGGGATTTGTGGTGGCTGCCACCGGGCACGTGAGCATACACGTGGTTTGCGTGAATAGTCCGGCGAGAGAACTTTTCTAAAGTTTTTTTTTTTTTTTTTTTGTGAAGAATTACATTTTGTGCTTATTATAAATAAAAAACTTATAAGTTTTAGACTTTCGGTGCATTACTTAGAGGCTAGCTTTTGGCAAGACTTGCAAAAAATGTTAAATACCTTTTTAGCAAAAACTCAAACTTGAGAACAAAGAATTCATATCCCCTATAATGTCTATTCACCAAATGAGTTTTTTTTTTTCACACTGAAATAGTTATTTTATTTTTGAACAATAGTAAATTACTACATGTGTTTCGATTGGATCTTTGTCGTTTATGTTTTAGTGTGAGTTGTAAATATTAAATGAGGTTTTTTTCTTCTAATGAGTTAACTGATTAAATAATCATAAATGGAGAAAAAAATAAAGAATGTGATTATATGACTTTTCAAAACGTGATCATATACTATGTGAAAAGGGGTTGTGTAATACAATTATGTAGGTGGGAGGCGTCATAACTATACGAGTGATATTGACTAAACTTAAAATACCTTGAATGGTACGTTACCATTAAAACCCTATGTGTGATATAGGAGAACACACGTATATACACATGTAATAAACACATATGATTCATGTAATAAACACATATGATTATCTATATATATGAGAGAGGGCTCTGATTGTTCTTTTCTCGAGCAACTATTGCGAAGGAACCAAGTTGGGTTCATTAAGCTTTGTGAAAACGTTTCGGATTTTGTTTTCGATTATCATAAGCTTGCCTGATCATACCCCTTACTATTTTTAGATCATCTAACATTTATAGTTTCAAGAGTTGTGTGTCACTTTCCATCGACACTTATTGTCAATTTGATAAGGTCTGTACCACTTTCTTTTTACTTGTGTGTTTGACCCCTAATTATATATCCCCGAGTTAAATCGTATATCAAATGAAGTAATGTTTTCATAACATTTTGAATGACAAATATATTGTCTGGTTTGTTTAATCAATAATCATTAATTCATTATCATGTTCAAGTTTTTTTTTTTTTTATCATGTTCAAGTTATGTCATATGTAGTCGTCAAAAGAATAGATATATGGCCAAGGGCTCTTCAATATTACCTAGAATCTCGGACATTGGAATGATATTTATATTTTTTAAGGGAACGCGTAATTAGATTTTGTGGTCCTTTTTTGACATTAGAATGTCAAGCTGCCCAAATCAAATCCGTTGACCAATCGCCAATTGGATTAGATTGTCTGATAAATTATAAATTACAGGAAAATGATCTATACTATTGTTTAGCATTAAATAAATAAATCATCTAATATTTGGTTATTCTAACTCAATTATTTTTATTTTATTTATTAAAAAACAAGTTTTCTGGTGAAGTTTGGAAGCATTAAATGTAGAAAGCTGCTCCTTCCATGGGACAGCACGTATTTAATAAAATAAGATAATTGAATAATAGTTGAAAACAAAAAGATTGATTAGTGTAGTTTGGTGTCAGTGACAAAGACAAAAGAGTGTCGTCGTCTCTTCTAATTTATCATCATCCAATCTAGTGGCTCTAAATTGAAATGCTTCTCTGTCGTCCTCTCTTGCTCTTAACTAATTTCTCTCCTTTTCAGAAAATAACAATAATTTATTTTTTGTATTTTAGTTTTAGGTAGATATTTTTTTTTCTTTTCTTTCTCTTGAAGACAAACTTTTAATCAGAAAGGAATCCTAAAACACTACAAATGTACATTATAATCAGTTTTGTTAATGACGTCAAAAAAAAAGAAAAATTAGTCTTGTTATTAATTCCGAATTCACTTTTTAATGTGAACCATACCAAAATCTAAAATCCAAAAACCTAAAACTATAATCCAAAAACCATTTAAAAACTTGCAAACATTCATGGCCAATTGGCTATATAGCCTTTACCATTTATACACGATATATAACAAATTGGTATAGTTCTTTGGCAAAAAAAAAAAACAAATTAGTACTCCCTCCGTTTCGTTTTACTTGTCGTTTTAGAGTTAAAATTTTGTTTCATAATAGCTGTCGTTTTAGGTTTTCGATGCAAATGTTTTGTGAAAATTCCAGTTTTATCCCTACTGTTTTAATGTTTCGGCCAATGAATTTTTTTATAAAATATATTAATAAAGGGTAAAACAGAAAATTTAATGCTTTTCTTAATATGTGTGAGAAAACCTTAAACGACAACTAAAACGAAACGGAGGGAGTATAGTTATTGAATTTCTAAATATGTGATCCACCGCTTTAACTTTTAAGAACGTTACTTGGATATTGGTTGGGAATTGGAATAGATATTGTTGTGATGTTTGATGAACTTGTAAAACGTAAAAGACGAAAATCGATATTGAAGCACAAATCGTCTTAATTAATGTTAGGGTTTTCTATTATTTAGTTTATGAATGAGTAAATACAAGTTGAAGGCATTGTTTTTAGGTTGCTTTTATATATAAATATATATATATATATATATATGTCCCAAGTATCTAATACGAACATGAATTTTTTTTATGGTAATTCTTTGGTCACTCGAATATGGTGTTTCAGTGGCATACTTGTTTTCGTTATTGAAGTCAACCCGGACATATTATATACTTTATTTGAAACATCTAGATGTAAGTAGGCTGTTTCAGAGATGTTATTGAAAGGATATATAAATGAAATGGTTGGATTTACATATGACTTATGTATCTGCTTTAAATAGATTTCAAAGTCTACGTACATAAAACCAAAAAAAAAAAAAGAAGGTCTACGTACAACGTACGTGTTGACTAGAAAGAAAAGGTCTAAAAACCGTGTCTAAAGTATGAGTATAATTTTTTTTTTTTTGTTAAAGTATTTGAGTATATACTTGAGATAATTTATATTCTTTTATTTTTTTCAATCGAGTTTTGATGTTAGCATTTGTACTACTTTGGAACTTTGTTATAAGTCGACGACTTTTGTTGCAGTAGCTAAACTTTACCTCTAGATATATATAACCACGTATTATAACAATAAACAAAAGCTAATCTCGATAAATCATCACAGCTCGTCAAGGAAATATATAATGCATGATTTGTTTCTTTTTATTGGTATCAATAACAACCG